TTACCCCAAACCCCAAATTTAATTTACTCCTCTCACTCAAAAATTAAACACAAGCCGCCGCTGATACCATAATTTAAAGAACTTGCTATTATCCTGTTTTGGAGTCTCGATGAGTAAAGCAAATTGACTGTAAAAATTTAACTGAGAATTTTTTAATTTAATTTGTATTTTCAATTTTTGGACAAAAACCCTCAAATCAAGATTTCTTTTCACTCTACCTTTCCACCCACCACTCTCTTGTGTCTCATTCCCCCGCTCCTAACAAAACACACACACACACACCCGCATGTGTGCGTGTGAGGGTGCACACACATTTGCTGTAATAAATGGCGCAATACTAGTAAGTAAAGTTGATCATCTCCTCCTACTATATTATTCCCTCACTCATCCCCAAATCCCCCACTTGCAATTTGCTTTTCCATACTCTCTTCTCATTTTCTTGTCCTTTTTTAACCTATTTTTTTTTTAATGTTTTTGCAGAGCCCTCTGTTTTATTTGACCCTTTCACTTCATCTCTTCAGATTTTATTTCACATTTTGTTTTCTCTTCTCTTCTCTTCTCTTCTCTTCTCCACCATGTTTTTTTGGGCACAGAGTATTTAATTGAAGGCAGGGCTTGAAGACATTTGAAGCTTTTATTGCTGGGCTCACTTTTTTTTTTTCGACTTATTAAAGGTAAATGCCCTTTGTGCTTCAATATTCTGTTCTATTACTCATTAAATTCCAAGATTTTAGTGAAAAAGATTCAATTTTGAGCCGGCCCTCTTCATGTTTTTGTTTCCTTTAATTCCATTTTTCCCCCCCATTGTTTTGTGTGGATTACAAAGATGCAAACTTTGTTCACACACACACCCGTATTGATGTGTGTGTGCTTTTTTATTTGATCTTATTTTTGTTTTGTACTAATTGGTATGGTTAGTGTTCTTCATAATTAATCTTTCATGCATTGTCAAAAAAGCAAAAATGAAATTAAATTTGTGCAGAGAGAGAGAAAGCTGACATGTAATAGAAACAAACCCTCTTTTTGACTCGTTTCATTATTACAGTTTTTAAGAATAAATGAACATGAACAAAAAGGCTTTGCTTCATTACGTCAAAGGGTTCCTTTTAAGCACCTTTTTTTGCTTTGGTTCACAGAAATTTTGCCTTTTACAAATGGAATACTATGTAGGCTGCCACTCGTTTTATAACTCGATGCCCGACTCGTTGTGCACTCTCCGATTTTTTAGATTCTTGTGAGCCACCGAGTCAACTCATCAGGATTGATTTATATTGTAGTAAATATTTTATTTATCATTAAACTAAGATTTTGTAGTAGTATATTTTAATTTTTATTACTTGGTTTTGGAGCTCTGGGTTTAGAGATTTGGACCCTACAGCGACGTTACGGGTGTAAATGAGGAGCAAATGTCCACAATTTTGGTTATTCCCATAATCTAATAATGTGTATGTATGTGTTTAAAATTAAATATATCTTACTAATACTATCTTCTTTATTTATATACATTCTATATGGGCATTTTACTATTACGATTTTATTATGGAGCCAACAGTTGGCTCCATAGTCGAGTCAACCTTCTATATATAACAAGTAAACCTACCATATATTTTGATTACTTAAATAATACTAATATAATTTTATTAATATGGTATATTTTACTTGTTGTATATAGAAGGTTGACTCGACTGTGGAGCCAAATGTTGGCTCCGTAGCAAAACCGTTTACTATTATTACCATATTGTTTATCCGCAATTTTGTTCCTTTCACACAATTTCTAGCTGGTAATTTTCATATTTTCTAGTAATTTTCCGAAGAAATATATTATATATATATTCTTCATTTGTTTGGAGTTTGGAGTGTGAATTCTAATTAATGGGCTAGCTGTAGTTTAATTAATGATTGAAATCTTAAGTATCATGCAGAGAAGTTTATTCACTACATTGGTGTGTGTATCAATTATTTATTTTTGCAGGAGAAAATCTGTAAAAAAAAACAAAAAACCCGAGGAAAATGATGATGCGGAGGAAGTTAGCTTGTTGCGCGAGGGAGTTGAGGGCGATTAGCATCGACTTTGACGAGCAAGAGAGTAAATTTCTTTCTCCGAAATTATTTATTTTCAACTAACAGTATATCATGTGTTATTGAATGAATTACCATACAAAAATCACACCAAGTTAACAAACAGGGAAAAAAGATACTGCATAAGATAAAAATTTAGCTGCTTGACATTTTCTTCTTTCCAAATCATGTGTGTGTGTGTGTGTTTTACTTTAATGTGCAATTGACTTATAGTGTTTGTTTATATCCAAGAACCTCTGGTAATGTACCTAATGTTACCCACCACATGGATTCTCTAGCAAAATTCTATATATATATAAAGAATATAAATTTTAAAAGAAAAAACTATAAAAGGCATAAAACCCTTTAAATGAGGCAAAGTCCTATAGTGTGCAAGTTATAGTGTGCCCTTACCCTTGCCGCCCTTGTGGTCCTACCCGGCACGATTCCGAATTAGTCGGTTCCCCTGTGGATCCCGAAACCGAAAGGTCCGTGTACCAAATAAAAAAAGTGTGCCCCTACCCATGCATATTACATTTATATGGTCCATGCTTGGAAAATTTGTGAGTATTTTGTTTGGTGACACACAAAATGTCCTGTTTTTCTTTACTCCACACATTTATTGCTGCAGAAAAAACCTATCTACACATTTATTGCTGGAAATGAACCTACCAAGTAGCAGTATCCTGTGGCAGATATTTGACCATTTGTGGGTGTGACCATTTATTTACATTTATTTCACTCTGCATGAAGTAGATCTATGCCACAGTATAGTCAATGCATCTTAAAAATTGGGGAGATACTACGGTCCCGTTACAGAACCATTCTGTCGGGGTTTGTAACCGTTACGCTCAACTATCCCCGACGGTTACATGATAATCTAACGGTTACAAATGCCGACGGAATGGTTTTGTAACGGGACCGTAGTATTTTCCTAAAAATTGACTCACATTCATCCCAGTTTTATTTTAGAGTTTTATATTAGTCCTTGTTTGGATTTCAAAAATTTTAATTATTGGCGATGGGGTCCTTTGTCTTTTAATGATTTGTGCTATTGAACTTGGGGTAGTTCACATTTTGTGGCCCCCCAACATTTCAATTTTTTTTTTTTTTGCACACAGGGGCAGAGCACACAGAAAGTCTTATTTAATTTATTTATTTAATTAATTAATTATTAATTTATTTATTTTTTATGTAGACATACTATTGTGTATGAGCCTCTAGGAGCATACTATTTGGTTTTAATTTTATTTGAATATTGATCAGCTTTTAGCTTGTCTGGATTCTATGTTTTTCATCAAGCACTGATAGCCCTAAAGTGACAAGGAAATATAGTAGCATCATGTTATGGGGGTATGTATGAGTTTGTATGGTAGTCAAATAAATGATTGATATAATTGGAGGGTCAATAGTTTGTGGGAGTTTCTACAGTCCCGTTACGGAGCCATTCCATCAGGTTTGTAACTGTTAGATCAACTATTCACGACGATTACATGATAATCTAACGGTTATAAATACCAACGGTACTACATATTTTATTTTTAATATTATTTTTTAATTTAAAGCACAAGTTCCAGTTCATGAAACACTGGTAACTGAGACAAGAAAGTCATTGTCCTCTGACAATTTTCTTATTAAAAAAATAATAATAATAAAAAAATCTGTATCATTGTATGGTTTTTATATGGATCTATATCTATATATGTTCCAGATTTTTTTAATCTCCCCAGCCCATCAACTTCACATTTTGTTTTGTCTTGTTTTCATTAGCTAATAATCTTGACTTTTTCAGCTTGTAGCTAGATAAAAATATTGTCTCTACTGAGATTCCTTCAATAATTTTATGATTTTGGTTGGTACAGTTCTAAACATAAATTTATAAAAAAAATTTAAATTGGAACATAAATCACACACAGTTTTACTATTGGCCTACGGTCATTTTATTATTGGTCTCAAATCCTAGAAAGAAGGTGAATATTGAATTTAGAACAAAATGGGTTGTCTTGAGATTTTTACGAACCTTTAAACCAGTGTTTTAGATATCGTACCGATAGTCATACCGGTCTAGCCAGCGTACGCTGTATTACCGGTAATACCGGTAGTATTGGTGGTATTACCAGACTAGCAAATATAATGATATATATAAATATACATAAAAATATATAATACCAAATGCAAAAAAGAAAAAAATAAATGACCATGATCATTAATTTCAACTTCTAAATGAGATAAAATAAAATATTTTAAATCAATTTAAATTTTATGTTTTTAAATTAATAATTTTAATTTATTTTTATTTTTTTTATTGGTCGGTATTTTGGACCGGAAAATCGGTACAAACCAGTATGATCGTAAATACGATATTTTGTGTGTAATTGTATCGTATCACTGGCCGATATCCGGTATTACCGGCCGGTACGATACGGTATTTTGAAACACTGCTTTAAACAGTAAGGTTCTTTGCTTAACAATTTGCAAAGATTTCCCCCTTTTTCCCACTCTAATGGAGTGATTGGTGGGATTTGAAGCCTCTTTTTTGTATTTTGTGAGTGAGTGATAACAATGTTTGCAGTGCCATGTGCAGAAGCAATCTCAAACACGTCATTTGTTTTGGACTTAAGATTGGATTCCTATGACTAGTTTATAGTTAAGTCAATTTACACATTGTCTGCATGTGAATATTGCTAAAATTATGGTATCAAAACCAAAATGACAACTTCATTCGTGTTCTTCATGTGTGAAAGAGAACTTATTGTTATGAACAAACAATAAACCAAGTAATTTGACAAAAAGAAAAAGAAACAAAAAAAAGAAATACTAGCCAGGGCTTTGGTGCAATTAACCAAACCTTTGGGGTACCTACACTAACCATAAACCTTTTCCCACTCTCACAAACAGTTTAAGACCTTTTTTTTTTGTCAGGGATAATGACGTATAACGGGCTCGAGACGTGCATCCTCAACAGCAGCTCGTACGATAACGATAGTGGGAGTAGTGGTGGGAACGGGTGCGTGAGCGACTCGTTTGACGAGTACGACTCAGCGTCCTCCTCTAGCACCAGTAACCTATTTGGCTCGTTTTCCTCTCTCTTCACCTTCATCAAGAAGGATGACAGCCAGGACGAGTCCTGGGCCCACACTAAACACCTTAACATCAAGGAAAAACAAGAGCACGACAGCTTTTCAGATATGGACACAATGAAGGAGAAGTTTGCGAAGTTGCTTCTTGGTGAAGATGTCACCGGTGGGGCCCGTGGTGTTTCAACCGCCCTCGCGCTTTCCAATGCTGTCACCACTCTTGCGAGTATGTTCTTTTCTTTTTTTGGGTTAATTGCAAAATGGTCCAGAGGGTTTTTTGAATTTTTGCAAGAACTCCCCCTTCATAAATAATACCGTTGCAGAAAGGGGGGGAAAACAGTTTAACCAACTAGTTTTTAAGACATTTGTTTGTGTAAACCATCTAAAAAAAGGAAGGAATGGGGTTTGGTTTTGCAGCTTCTGTATTTGGGGAGCTATGGAAGTTAGAGCCATTACCGGAGGAAAGAAAGAGAAAGTGGGGAAGGGAAATGGAGTGGCTTATTTCACCAACAAACTACATGGTCGAGCTGGTTCCTGCTAAGCAAGATGGTGCCAATGGTCATACGTTGGAGGTACGATGACTTTTTTCTCAATCCCATTTCAAAAATGAAGAATATGTTTACTCATAACTCATAAGTTGGTTGCAATTTTGTGTAGATAATGACACCAAAAGCTCGAGGGGACATCCATATGAATCTGCCTGCCCTCCGCAAGTTGGATTCCATGCTTATTGTAGGTGGTCTCTCAACTCTAAATAATACACGAAAAAAAAAAAAAATCGAAAACCATGGCAATCAAAATTCTAACCTCGCTTTAAGTTTTTTAGGTTACTCTTGAAAATAGAATAGAATGAGTTCAAGGGAGATTGTATATGTTTCCAAAACTTCTTGTGGGTAATTTTTTTGAAGTACCTAAAACTGAGAAGCTATGATTTGTGATGTTGATAGGAAACACTAGAGTCAATGGTGGACACTGAGTTTTGGTACGCTGAGGTGGGCAGCCGAGGTGAAGGTAGAAGCAGAAATGGCGGGAACAGCATGCGGTGGTGGCTTCCTTCACCACGGGTCCCAACTGTCGGCCTCTCGGATATTGAGAGAAAAAGATTGTTGCGCAAGGGCAAATTGGTATATCAAGTCTTCAAAGCTGCAAAATCCATAAATGAAAATGTCTTGGCCGAGATGCCGATTCCTGCAGCAGTCAAGGAAGCACTCCCAAAGGTAGTCTCCACAATTTATTTTATGAAGTTTTCCGTTTTTTCAATGGGATTCAGATATGGTTTTTGAAAAATATCGAAGAGAACGCTTGAGCGATCACTGGAAAATAACATTTCGAACATTCTACATTGGTCAAAATTCCAAAACTAATGATCTGTTTGAAATTTGAGAACTTCTATGGGTGATCACCTCTAATCTCTGGGGTATATTTTTCCACCTTGTCACCAATTATGAGAAAACGGTTAATTAACATAAACATTTATTTACAAATTGAAGATTGTGTTCTGTTCTATCGAAAAGTTTCAAGAAAAAGAAAGAAAAAAATATATATTTTACGAGATTTTGATGTCTTTGGTCTATCATCCTCTGTCCCAGTCTGGAAAGGCAAGCCTTGGGGAAGAACTCCACAAAATACTGTGTGCTGAATCTCTGTCTCCCGAGGAAGTGATCAACAGCATGAACCTGAAATCCGAGCATGGTGCACTCGAAGCCATTAACAGACTGGAAGCAGCAATATTAGCCTGGAAGGAGAAAATTGCGGAGCAACACAACAATGGCAAGTCACCCACTCGGACATCTTGGTCTTTTGTGAAGGATTCACTTTCCGAGCTCGAAAGACTGGAGTTGTTAGTGAAGAAGGCCGAGATGCTTGCACATGAGCTTAAGATCAAGTATCCAAACCTACCTCAAACATTTCTTGACGTGACAAAAATACAATACGGCAAGGTGAGTGATAGAATAACATCTACCAAATCCTTAAATTCATTCTAGAGGTGATTTTGTTTGCCTTTTGTTAATTATTTTTTCTATTTTGGTCTATCTATCTTCTACACAGGATGTGGGGCACTCGATTCTTGAAGCGTATTCGCGTGTGCTGTCAAATCTAGCTTTTTGCATTCTCTCCCGTATAGGGGATATTTTGCAAGAAGACGTGATGAGCAATCCAAACTCGCCCGTTGCCATGTCACATCTCGTTGGGGCAAAAATCCCGGGGATTTCAGACAGCCCCGTGCTCGATCGTGTGAGGCACTCCCTCATTCATCAGCTCAACCGTGCGGACAAAAGCAAAACGAATGAAAGCAATGGTTATGACATTGAGGAAGCTAAGATTAGTTCGGTTTGTGGCACCCCTACTCGAGTCATCTGACAAAATCCGAAAAAAACTTCTGGTAGACAAATCCGTAGAAAATTGGTTTGGTGCATTGGCAAAGAGGCTTGCCACGGTATTTCTGCTCAAAATTCCCCGTAGATATAGATCATCGCTGCTATTTATTTTCTTAATGTGTATATATAATGAGTTAGTGTCATCCAGTAAATTGTGTGGTTTTGGCATGGCCACAAAGGAGGATTATGATATATCATCACTACTAAATTGAAATGAGAATCCCTTTCATTGTAATTTTCATAATTTTATATTTATTGGAGCTATATTGTTTTTATTTGCCGCTTGAGCCAAAAGATCGCTTCTGGATTCAAGTACCCTCATTTTTTCAGTACTTTCAAGTTCTCATTGTGTTTGTTTAAACATTTAATTTTAAATATTTTATGTAATTTAAGTTAAATTATATAAAATAAAACAATAAAAATTAAAATTTTATAAGATAAAATTAAATATTTTATGTAATTTAAGTTAAATTATATAAAATAAAACAATAAAAATTAAAATTTTATAAGATAATTTTATCATATATTATATGTTTTATTATTATAACAAAAAAAGGAGTGATTCTATTACCTTTTTTTAAAAAAATAAAAATATTGTAATATGACAATAAAGTTAAAATAAATAAATAGTTAAGTATTACATAAGGTTGAAAATAAGTATCTTTTTTAATGATAATCTATAATCTATAATCTATAATCTATCTATATCTATCTATAACTCCCTTAAAAGTATGAGTTGTTTCTTGAAACTTTTGAATTGCCAAGAATATTCTCATAAAAAGATAAGTGTTAAGGTTATTAATGTAATTTTCTTATTCATGTTAGGAAGTTACAACTTTTAATTATTATATTTATTTTGATGCTTAATTATATCATTAAGTTCTTACACATACAAAACATTACCTACACAAATTAATATATTTTAAATAATAATTTATTCTTAATTATATTATTTTGAATTAATCTACATATGATGTTAGGTTTCGATTTGGTTATTTTAAAGGCAGTTTTAAAATGTAAGAGAAAAAATTATTTTAAGATTTCTTAAATAAAATATATGATATTTCATAAGTGTGAAATATATAATGCATCACTAAAAGTATCATCTTTAATTTCTAAATATTATATTGTTTACCATACAAATTTTTTGTTATAGTATTAAAACAATTAAACAAGAACAATTTAGTGAACATGCATATGTTTAAGAATAATTGAATCAAATATAATTATTCAACATACAAAATGTCAACTTTCTATGTAAAAAAGTTATTTGTTAAGTAAAAAAAAAAAAATCTTAACGTAATTACTTGTTTAAATTATTCACTAAAACAATATGCATAATATGATTTATGTTTACCTCTTAATAGTATGTATAGTATAAATGTTTTTGTAATAATGTGTTACATGAATTAAAATAGCATTTACTGAATTGTAATATAAGCAAAAATAGATTAATTATAGAAATAAAATAAAATAACTAAAATTCTATTTTAAATCTTGAATTTTATAATACGTGTACTTATTAGAAAATAGTTACAATTAAAATTAATTAAATAAAAATAAATAGTGAATTTACTTTAAATATGAATCATTCATTAAAACTAGACTCATTAAATTTTCACATTTAGGATATTCTTAAAAATCTGGGAATGAAGATAATGCAGGTATGACAATTTTAGGAGATGCAACAATAACTTATGTTGGACAAGATATGTAGATAGATGAATATCTTTAATCAATAAATATGTTATTATTCCTAAGCTTTTTCATGTATTTTTTTTTAAAAATAATTATGACTTTAAAAACATTTTCAAATATTTATGTGTCTCTTATGTCATTATGACTAGAGAAAAATTATATATATCTAAGTATTATGAAATGTTATACTTGCAAATATGGCTAATTGCAACCACTGTAATCAAAATAATTGAGAACGAATTATTCAAACATAATGTTTTAGCTTCCAATCTACAATAAAAAAATGATCATTATAAATTATAGTTATAACAAATTCGAATTATTTTTCAAAGAGTATGATGCAAAAGGATGACATTAGAAAACTATATTTGATGACAATATCAATGATAATTATTTTAAGCAAAAGTAGGGATGAAATGTTGACGAAGATATAAAATAATGTTAAGATAAAAATAAAATATGAAGGAATCATCATTACATAATTCATTTAAACTGGAATTAGTAATTATTCACATTTAGGATAGTCTTGAAAATTCGAGAATGAAGATAATGAATATATGACAATGTTAGGAGATGCAATAATAATTTATGTCGAAAAAGATATATAGATAGATAGGTAGCTTAATCAATAAAAATGTTATTATTCCTATGCTTTTCAAGTAAATTTTCTTTTTGAAATAATTAGTTAATTACGACTTGAATTAAAGACATTTTCAAATATTTATGTATCTCTTATATCATTATGACTAGGAAATAACTATATATATCTAAGTATTATGAAATTATACTGGTAAATATAATTACACTTGCAACCACAGTAATCAAAATAATTGAGAACGAATTATTTAGACATAGTTTGTTAGCTTCCAATCGACAATAAATAAAAAAATAATCATTATGAATTATAGTTATAGCATATTTGAATTATGTTTTCAAAGAGTATGATGTAAAAAGATGACATTAGAAAGCTATATTATGAAGACAATAATAGTGATCATTATTTTAAGCACAATGAAGATATCATTAAATAACAAAATCAAAGACTATAATTTTTTTTAGCATTTACATTTTCACTAAAAAAATATTAATTTTATTTTTGGTTTTCAACCCAATGTTTTTCTTTTTTAATTTTATTCATCATAGAGTTCAAATAATAGTATTAAATACTATATTTCATTATTCAATAAAATACACCATTTTTTGTTAAACTAAATGAATGAAAATTATATTATACTTTTAAATATAAACCTAATACTAAAAATAATTTGAAAAAAAATACCACGTGCGTAGCACGTGCATTTTCCTAGTAAAAAAAACAAGTATAACAGTAGGTTATAGAACTGCTAATTTTGTAACAACCAACTATTTGTAGAAACGAGAGGGCGATGACATGCATGCATCTCGTGTAGAAGTATATAACAGGTGTTTTATATAATTCACCGTTAAACCAAGACTAAGAATTTAAATTAAATCTCCAAATATGACTGCCCTACTTGAAGTTCATAATCAAACATCCCGGAGCTTTCATATATAGTTCCTCTCGGGAAAATCGATTTGCGTCTTATGCATCTAAATCGGATTCTGAAAAGGTGGATTTTGGATGGGGAAAGCCGATATACAGTGAGATGAAGTAATGGTGGCACCAATAAGCTTGCCGTCTAAGTGATGGATAAGTTTGAGAATGAGATTAGGAGATTAATGTGGGGCCCATAGGGAAACTGGAAAACTTCGAATACTGTTATGTTTGAAGAAGTTTCCTGTGTCAACACTTCTGATGGGGGATATTCTTTTGCACCCAAACTGCAATGAAGGTATCATCTTGATGGCAATTTCATTTTCTCAAAGTAAAAAATAAGACTTCTTTCTACTCACAGAAGCAAATATCAATCGTATAACCTTAAAACAACAGGATGGACTCAATGATTTCTTTTGTTGAGTATATGAAAGATTAGGATGAAGTATATAACATCGAAATATCCAGATAATTTGAGTGCAGATAAAATGCACAAGTCCATCTAACATGACTTTAGCTAATGCCATTCACTTTTCATCTATAACTATTTAATACTATAAATGAACTTACATGAAGAAGACAAAATCCAGCCCCATCTCACATTGAATCATGAATCGAGGCTGCTAAACCAGTTACTGATAGTTCTAGAAAGGACTCTCGTCTCATTTAGGGAAAGAGTTTTCAGTCCTTGAGCAATAGCATCTGCTGGGGTGTACACTGGCCCTACTTGCCACCTTGGTTCCTAATAAATACAAAGGAAAATTCACATGTTTTATTTATTCTCTATTCTAGTCCACCTTTCAATAGTTCGAGATTTAGCATGTTTCAGAACACGAATGAACTATTTTTGACTTGATGGGTTCATGAAACTTATTCATTATTACTTTTACTACTTGCCGTTCTCAGAAGACTCCACTTTCCCACAAAAGGACAACAGAAAAAAAGAAGAAAAAACTCATAGTTTACTTGTATTTGTACCTGTATGCATGGTGTTATATGGTTCCCACGTAAAACAACCTTATCAAGTCTTCCACCATAAGACTCAATACGAGGCTTTAGTGTCTCCTCAAGGAGATCGGTCTCATCAATTGTATCAAAATCAAATTTTACCTGAGAGAAAGTTTGATGACTTAAGATGTCTACTGCATTAAGATTTTTATTCAAAACTGCATATAAAGGGTAAAATACTTTTTACCATCCGAACTATCATGGTTTTGGCGCATCGCCATATAAACTATTTTTTTTTACAAACCATCATATGAACTATACGGGTTTGTCAACCCTAAACCAGATATAAAAGCGGTTTTGAATGAAAAGGTTGTTTGGTCACCATATGTGCCCCTTAAATACTTTTACAAGAACAATCACGAGTTTGTCAATGTGCCCCCTAAACCACTTTTATATCCGGTTTAGGGGGCACATTGACAAACCCGTATAGTTCATATGGTGGTTTGTTAAGAAAAATAGTTTATATGGTGATGCGCCAAAACCGTGATAGTTCGGATGGTAAAATAGTATTTTACCCGCATATAAATAAAGATAAGTAGTACCAATAATGTTTTTTGTATGTTGTATAACTTCTTGAAACATTCGAGATTCTCTGCAGGTGTTGGCTTGAACTCAGAAGTCCCTTGTGCAACCTAAATAAAAATATATAAGAATCAGAAAACACGATGAGAAATCCAGACAAAAATATATACAGATTATGTCCGATGTAGAGCTAAAAGGAAGTCAAGAAATAGTAGTTCTAAAATTATAGGTGAAAAGGTAATTAGTCTTTATGTTTTAGATTTTGGACATTGAAAATACCATCCACTCATATACCTGGTTAAATACTGAGGGTAACTGATCAACAAACTTTGTCAAAGACACGGAGGCTTCCGGATCATAGTCTGGCACGACTCTTTCAGCCATATCTAGTAGTGTCTTCCATCCATCTAATGAATCATATACAATTTAGAAGTAACTGAAGTATTCAGATTAACAACTCACTTTCGCAAACACTTGACAACTTATAATTTATTATTTTTTAGTATGAAGTTTTAATTTTTTACCTGAGACACTCTGAGCCAATGAATACATAGGGGATGTCTCAATGACTGGCATCATCTGGTTGACTACAGGACCAAACTGCAGAATAGAGAACAGACACTTGAGATCTAAAAATGTTTTTCTGAAAAAACGTGAAAACCTAAATCAGAACACTATATACATCCTCAATCGTCTTTTTTTGGTTGCCTTTTGTATTATTGCCCATGAAAGTTGCCCATCTAGCTATTCCACGCCTCTCTATATGGCATGATTGTCTTCAATCTTTGATATTATGAACAATGAGAAATAACAAAAGACATGCAACTTTAGCAAGTACCATATAATATTTACGACTTCAAAAACAAGAAACCTTCCGCCTTTCATTGTTTTCAGTCATGAATTGAATGAGCTTGATATTTTATATAACATCTCCATCGAATGATAAATCCTTGACACGTTTGTGTAATAAGACAATATCGTTTGCTTAATCAGAAATGTTGATCTTAATTCGTTAGGACATCTTTAATTAAGCTGTGACATCATCACGCTATAACGTCTGCAAAAACTGAAAATGTTAGAAACTTACATAGAGAAGAGGAACAGACCTGCTCGAAATATGGTACAGCCTCTGATGCTGATTTGTTGTTGTAAGATATGACTGCATTTGCCTTCATAAAAAAAATGGATTTTATTTTTTGCCAAAACATGCCATCTCCCATTTTCATCAAAATTACACGCAATATGGTTATTGGGAGCAAACAGAATCAACCTTAGGAATCTTCTCACAGAAATAACTCCCAACGAGTACTTGAATGAGTGCACCGTTGCTGCAAATTCATTAAAATGTAAATTAAACAAACGCAGTTAACGTCTTTTTCAATTCTATGTTCATTTTCCACAAATCACCATAACCGTACCAGAAAACCTCGATATAGTTGAGCTTAAACAGAATAAAATGAAAATTAACTGCTAGGATTTGGATACACATCACCTGT